CTATAACTCGCATTTTACTTTTACAGAGCGATTGTATCTTTCATCGATTTTGATAGTGCTTGAAATACTAAATGGTTGTCATCTCGATATCAGTAATTGAATATCCTTAAAGACTTTGATATGTTTTAAAGGAAAACCGCAGCGTAAAGCAGATCGACTAAGTTCACCTCACCCTGCTTCTCGATTTATCACTTTGATTCACTTTCGTGAACCTTTTCATTCCAAAATTTCGTTATTTTTACGCTCTGATCAAGATCCGAACTCTACCATTACCAAGGGACAAATGATTTAAAAAAATGAAAATGAACACGCGAGAGACTAGAGCCTGACGTGTGATGACGAATGATGACGACAAAAATTTTTTTGGCTTCAATTTTTGGCTTCGGTTATCATTCCAGTTATTCAAATGTCGAGTTCACTGTTTTGACCACGCGGCCGCGCGCTAATAATTTATACTGATTTTGTTGACGTTTCCCCTCCAGTTATTATAGAACTCAATGATTGTTATCCGTTTAGCTTACGTTGATTGGGCAAAATTGATCACCTGATCAATTTCCGCCATTTTGGTTCCTAGTTTTGAAATTTTAGCTAGTGTTATATAGTAATGCTGCTAGTAATACAGTATTTTGAGATAATATTGCGTTTTTATGGATAAGTGTAATAACTGATTGTTGAAGGCTACTAAATGTCATTACATATCATAAATCGAGGATTACGAAAAAAATGAGAGAAATGCCTTTACGTCGAACTTACGAAATTTGATTGCGTATGGTGATTGTTGTTGAACTGCTTTTGATATAAGGTTCAATTAACTGACTCAAGTAGAGAAACATTTTTAAATAAATCACATTTTAAAGTTCGTGCTGATGCAGTTTCAATAGTTTTCTTACTCCAAAGCTTGTTTTTTAATCGAAGATGATTTCTCATTATGTTCTGAAATTGGTCAATCTACAAACCTCTCAATTCTCAGCCACTTCCATACTAAAACAACTACACCAAATAACAGAAACTTTTATGATTTTCCATGATGTATTTTGTATTTTTAGTTCATCATAAAAATGAAGTAATTATAATTAGGATATTCACTGAAACAGCTGAGTACAATATATTTTTGGTATTGAATTGTACAAATGTACCCTACTTCTGTAGCTCAAAGTAGAACATTACCTCTCTTCTAGACTTGTCAATGATATTTTAATTGTAGGTTTTGGTTTATAAGATCACAGAGGCATATCTCCATAATTTCAGCTATTTGGGCTTTTTAATGTATATTACAACTGGTTTACAGTGTTTATGTGGATTACATTTATGTGGTTTACAGTGTCCATAATTTGGTTTACAGTGTCCACATACAGTGTTTATGTGGTTTACAGTGTCCATAATTTCAGCTATTTGGGCTTTTTAATGTATATTACAACTGGTATACAGTGTTTATGTGGATTACATTTCCATTTTATTTCTGCTTTTTTAAAAAATAGTTCTGGGACATCAAGGCAGTGTTTATGAAACCAGCTCTGGGTATAACGGCGATGGGTATAATGAGAGATATGGCAAGAGATAGAGACGTTTGGCGTGGAAAAATTCATGGACCGGTCAACTCCCCTGGCGGGGATTAATACTGGCCGGTATACAAATGTTGTTTGTTTGTTTGATTACAACTGTTGCTGCCTTTCTCATATATATTAAAATATTGCCGGCTTTCTGATATATATATTTAGGTGCTGCTAGCTTTTGATATATATATTTCACTGGCAATAAAAGGCATAGAATTTGAACAACGGGGCTGAGCTCCTCCAACACCTGTTTGATCATTAAACACATATAGAAGTTTTGTCATTCCTCAACCAATAAATTTAACTCTTTGCTAAATTAAAGATTGGATCAGACTCATATGCTGTATAAAAGACTACAAACACTAGCATTTATAGCAAACAGACTGTTCTTCAACAGAAATGTTTCATATTATAGAAATAATATATTCATTTAAAGAAATGCTTCACCAAATTTTCAGCAGAATCCCTAACAAACTTTATTAGAAATAAACTTTAATACTTTATAAAGTGATAAAGGCGAAATAACTTCATATACAGGAATAAAACGTTTAAGGTCAAATGCATCTTGGTCAAATCATTGCATATTTCAATAACTAAAAAGTAAAAAAGTCTGTCATTTTCTGCTGAGCAAAATTTTGTGATCTTTCAGAATAAAAAATATCATGCTTGGATTAAATTGGGTGGGGCGGCATAAATCACTCACTACCATTAAATTGTTACAAATCTTGAACACAAATCTCTCCGGACCAAATCTGCATGATTACTATGATTCGAAGTTTCGAACAAAGTCTTGTCCAAGTATTTGATAACACTGATGCCAGGATAACATTGCCGCTTGCCACCAAGCTTAAAGATCTTGAAAACTTGTTACAGAGTCGGAACATAAGCCGAGAAAAACACGTTCACGTACGAAAAATACTTCTTACAATGGGTCACGATCAATTTGAAGCACGAACTAGTAAACCGCAAACGAAGCTCAAACCAATGAAATTAAATCAGGTCTGCCGCAAATCGTTAAAAAAACGCAAAGAGCTTGCTATTATTCCTAATATATTTGATACTACCATGGAATAAGCTTAAATTGCTTTCTTCTTTTGCATATAAACCCAATTTCCAATAGTATTATTATAGTTTCACTTTGCAAGTAGGAACCAAAATGGCGGCTCCGCGCTCGCCCCAGACCGTTTGTCCCAACTCTTATACTATAGAGGGCTCTGATTTTCTCCATTATTGCCGATTTTGAGAAAAGAAACGCATTTATCTCATAAACGAAGCCATCAATCAGAAAATTGTAAAATAACTTTTACAATGATTTTTTTACCTCAATCAGAAAATTCGAAAAAAAAAATTGTGAGATAAGCACTTTAAATAAAAAATGAGTCTCGGCCGTAGTGATGTTAAACAATAGTTTTAGTTCTGTTCTGTTCATTTTGAATGTAGGGTTGTTGGTAAAAATTAAATCAATAGCAATGTCTATGGTTTCGGTCAGTGGTATGTTGGTAAAAAGGTTTTCAACGTCAAAAGAAATAAAGAATTTGTCATGTGGAGCGTTAGTGTCAAAAGATAAAAAATCGTCGACAAAACTAAAAGAATCTTTAGCAGAATGGTCATTAGGTATTAGGGGTTGGAGTAAAGAGCTGAGGTATTTGGCTAATTTGTAGTTATACGAATTGATTGAAGAATTTATAGGTCTGATAGTAGGTATGTCATTGATATTGTTTAATTTATGAAGTTTAGGTAAACCATATAATCGAGCTGGCTGTGAACCTCTTGGGTACATTTCTTGAAAAGATTTTTCGTTAATAGAGTTCTTTTTCTTTAAGTTACGTAGCAGTCGTTGTAACTTTGCTTCACGGGAAATTTTAGGATCATGATCGAGTGGTTTGAACTTAGATAAATTGTTAATGATAGTGAGGCAAGAGTTAATGTATACCTGACGATCCATAATGACTACACCATTGCCTTTGTCGGGTTTAAGAACAATGATTTTGTCAATTTTGTCAATTTTCATGTGCGGGATGTAATTCCCGCTATATTGGTGAAACTTCTCGCCAATTATCTACCAGGATAAATGAACATACTCACACAGACAAAAACTCCACTATCTACAAACATCTTCAAGCCTCTCCTTCATGTAAAAACAAATTCTCACCTTCCTGTTTTAAAATCATCGACACTGATCAATCCACTTTCTCACTCAAAATCAAGGAAGCTCTGCACATTAATAAAACTAATCCCGATTTAAATATCCAAGTTCACCACTACAACACTATATTTACTTTATAATAACATTTTTTGTTATAAGTTCTTAATACTTATTTTTCTTTTCCTTTTTTTGTAAATATTTTATAATTTTGAAACTAAATCACAATCCTATTCACTGTAATTAATTTATTCATATCATATTACGTATCATATTACTTAACACTAACCATTCTGCACTGAAGATGGCATTCTGATAATGTCGAAACATGTTTGCTTTCAAAAAAATCTTGTATTTTGTAATGTAAGTGCAATGTTTTATTAATTCTGGAAATTTTACTACTCTTTGGTTCCATAAGTAATGATACATTATGAAATTAAATTAATGAAACAACAATTTTCGTTCAATGGTTGCATAACGCCATAAGTTCTTTAAAATTAAAATGTATTCAATTAAATGTTTCGTCATGTAAAAAATCCATCATAAGCATGAGATTAAAATTCAAAAATGCTGCAGGAAATCATTTGTCATAAGCTGTGTATACAACACCCCCTGATTTTGTTGACATTCAGTAGAGTGAATTTTTCAGCTATCAAACTTCTGCATCTAGAAAATTGCTCACAGTAAATGACCAAAAATATGAACGACGTCAAATCGACCGAATTAGAAAATGCGTGTCAACACAAAAACAATCAAAAATCTAGGGGTAGACTAAAATATCTTTCTTGTATATCCTATAAAAAAGCTCATACAAATGATCTTTTATACACATTTAGACATGCAACAAGCATTCATAACTTTTTTCTTACCACTGTGAGTTCTTGTAACAATTATAAATTCATGGTAGAATGTAGGCACGAACAAGGTCGTTCGTGTTTCTAATTCTTCATATGACACCTTATTTTAACATCGTTAAATTATAAAATTGGATCGAAGAGCACTTCATAAGAAAAAGCCATGAAATAAAAAATAAATCTCATGATTTACACATTATAAAACCACGCACAATCGCAGATAAAATTCACTAACATCAAACAATCGATCGTGAAAATATCTCAAAGTATATTAATAGAAAAGAAAAAATTATTTTACACATGTTTCGTGGGGTCCTTGCGACTGAAATAAATTTAATCCCACAGGACAGTTGGGATGCAACAATTACATTAAAGACACGGCCATTACGGTCATTTACATTTATCAAAGAATTGTGTTCCATCAACAAAGCACGAACTCACAAACGCAACTCACTCCATGACTTAGTTTATTTACTGGGATACAGAAGATGGGTGCCAGCATACGACAGATTTTGAAGAACGAAATCACTTTAAACATTAATCATTGTTTAAGACTAAAGTTACAGCAATATATATAAGAAAGAACGAATGAAAAGTACACGAGATGCAGTGACGCTTTAAATGCGCTTCTGCTTATTACGATACATATCATGATAATATACAGAACGTTAAATCTACAACTATACATAGGAAAATTTCTAAAGATGACTATTACAGTGCTACACGCAGGAGTTAACCAATCACATTTCTTATTACTTCATTTGCATTTTGATTCATGGTAAGAATCGTTGAATGCTTGTATAATCAAAGTAGCAATGTGACAAATAGATATTTTAAATATTCTTAAAACATGAAAGTACAACACTTGCACAGATTATCTTTAGATAAAACAAGAGAATTTCACTCAATAAAGATCGAAAATATTGAAGTTTACCAGAGAATTGAATGCATTCATTAGTTTAGTCTCTAGCAGCGGCAATGATTCTGAGAATGAAGAGGAACAAATTAATGATATCAAGATAAAGATTGAGTGCAGCAAAGATATATTCTTCTGGAGACAATGAATATTGTTTGCCATCACCCATCATAATCTGAGTATCATATACCAAGTACTATAAATACAAAAAAAAGATATGTCAAAAGTTTGAACACAGACAAGAAAAGAAAGTGCAAGGACCGCTCTCAGATAATGGTCAATTTTCAAAGAAATTTTGAGATTTCTGGCAGAACCTAAAGCTCAAACTATCTTGAAAACTTTCTCACGCAAATGGTAACTAACAAAGAGCATTATGATGATTCACAAATTGTTGACAAATTCATTGCGTACCAAAGAAACGAGAAAAGCCCCACCACTTGCGTACACAAGAATTAGAATCTAAAAATGATAATTAACAGTACATACAAAAAAAAGAATTCAAAAATACATTGAAACTCAATCAAAGCTTAATTAAACTAATTCGTGAAAAATAACATAATGAAATCAAAATGTTCACATTTGTGATAAACAACAAATGAAAGAAAATAACAAATATATGTATGTGTTAAAATTTTCGTCATTGAATAGAGTTGATGTTCAGGAACTCGCGTTTCTAAATATTTTCAAAAAGCTTATTCTTAAACTTTCGGCATGGTTTCACTTCCTCGCAGACTAAACTGCCTGAACTTAGGGTTACAAGTTACAAGAAAAACAGTGAGTTGAATATTTTTATCGGCATAATTTAGTAAAGAGTGAGTAAGATTAATGCAGTAGAATCGACACAACATACCTTATTGTGAAAGAAGATTGTTAAAAATCCAAACAGAAGAAGAACAATGAATACAACAAAGAGCGTTCCTCCCTTCATGGTGAAATCAAACTAAAAATGCACGAAGTTAACAATATAATTATATGAAGACATGTCAGCATAGGAATGAGAAAAATTGAAATATTAACAAAGAAATGGGAGAAATCCCTAAGATCTGTTAACAAAAATATAAAAAATCACTAAGGTCTGTTAACAAAACATGAAAAATCACAAAGGTCTGTTAACAACGACATGAAAAATCACTAAGGTCTGTTAACAAAGACATGAAAAATCACAAAGGTCTGTTAACAAAAATATGAAAAATCACTAAGGTTTGTTAACAAAACATGAAAAATCACTAAGGTCTGTTAACAAAAATATGAAAAATCACTAAGGTCTGTTAACAAAGACATGAAAAATCACTAAGGTCTGTTAACAAAGATATGAAAAATCACTAAGGTCTGTTAACAAATCTGTGTAAAAAGGAGGTTTTTTCCACGATTTATATTTTTCATACTCTCAAAACTGCTCCATTGTAAAGATAAAAACGTCTGCAAATAACTGCATAGTTAATGAGGCAAGTTTATCCGAACAATCGCTATTTTTCTAAAACCAACATTTTGGTACCAATTTTATACTGATGAACGAAAATATCGCTTTTTTCGAATTATTTCGTATGGGTTAAGAAGTCATTCACATTCTATCGAAGAATATGTCTCATGGAGACTTTATGTTCTTTTCTTTATACATATTTTAATATTACGGTAACATACGTAGCACATGAAATCACCACCCACACTATTTACACGATACATAAAAATACTTCTAAAGCGACAAATAATTTCATTCTAACCTTAGTCTGGAAGGAAAACAATGTTATGGCCAGAACCACGCCCTAAAAAATTAAGATATAAAGTTAAATTCGTTGCCACTTAACGAAGATGAAACTTCTTTGAAAGAATATTTGTCCAAATAGCAAATAAAAACACACGACATTTTGGGAACATTGGCGCAGCGCCAATGTATAAGAACTCAATCCTAGTTCGGTTTTAATCAATTGAGCAATGCTCACGAACAAGCACTGCATCTAAAGCTTTGGAAATATAAAGCGAACCGACGCGCTTAAACGAGTAAATATGGCAAATTCGAATTGCGAATACGTATGATGATAATTGAGAGGAAAATTAGAAGACAAACTGTCGTTATTCCTGTAACCATGAAAACAGCATGTGCATCATACCGGCTAAAGAAATAAAAGGAAAGACTAAACGACAAAACAAGACGTACGTATTTCACTAAATATACATTCCAGGAGTTACAGTAATATCTGTATTTACCCCTCCCCCCCTCCAGTTCACCTGGTGTGTGTTGACCTGTAATGAAATCGTGCTAAAGCTCAACTTAATAGCTAAATACTGTCTAAACTTAATATTTACTCATAAGACTAATAACTATACTCTTATTGTAGAAAATGCAACGTAGTTTTGACAAAACAATGAAATACATAATGATCGTCATATATATGTAGCTATGTAGGTATATACCTGGCAGCACTACCCAAAGCAAATCCTTTACAAAGAGTCTTAAATGAAGAAATGAAAAGTGTTAGTTTTTCACCTTCATGCTAAATATGACAAGCATAATTCTAACTTTAACAATTTGATTCATTTAGCTTTATATATCTTAAATACAATACAATACTTATTCAAAGTGCAATCAGACACATTTCATTGCATGAAATTGCGTTTTTGAGCTTGTACTTGTACCTAGCAAAATACATAATTTATATTTTTTCCCATAACAATGTTGGTGTTTCACAGTACAAGTCAATACATAGAAAATGATGAATCAGTTTATTTAAAGTCGTTTGCGCAGCCAAATAAAAACGCTCACACTGTTTTGCAACGTAAATTAAGAATCAATGATCAAACCATGTAATGAAGATTTAAGTGCGATAATTCTGCCTAATATCACGATACCTAAAAAATGACTAAATAACGACTGTGGTTACAAACTCAAAATTTCTTCATCTGGACAACTTACTAAAAGACTTAGAAGAATCACGTTGTGAGGATACTTTCGTCTACAAATAAATCCGTATTTAGTTACATTGAATTTAACATTGAATATTTTCATTGACTTGAGTTTTAGATCCTAGTTCTAGTTGAGGTGTATTACTGCGGAAAAATACAAGTGGTGTTTTTCTAATAAATGTTTGTATTTCATAGTATTATAATTTATATGCATTCAATTTCCTTGTCAAGTTAGGATTTTTTACACAGCCATAATATATAGGCAACTAATGTCGACCACGCAAAAAATAATTTAGCCAAATTAGTTGTGTATTGAATTAGAAAGAGGCATGAGAAACGGACAAGCTCAATAAGCAACTTGGAATGCCACTGACTGCAATGACTTATTTGAGTGTCTGTGGCATTATCATTGGAATATTCTTAATAATATTAGGTACGTAATTTGGGTTATTAGGGTATTGTATGGATGAACATGACTTCTTTGATGGTAATACTTTACTTTACAATCATTTCATGTGAAGATTGAAAAACATCACAAATTATTCAGATTTGAAATAGCATTATGATTTATAAACAAGTATGTTGCAACAAAATACTTCACAAACAAAATAAATCACAGCTATAAACTTTGGGCTCAGAAATGTTCTGTAGAAAACTTCTAACCAAAGCGTTATTGTTAAGGTGATTTGAAGTAAGAATGGGAAATAGGATTGCATTTGGATGAATAGGTTATTGACATACATAATTTCACAGATGGCGAAAATATTCCCGCAGAATAGGCAAATGTAACATGAATAAAAATACCTGAGATTTTCACAACATGGAAGAATAAATATGAGAACACAAGACATGACTCTAAAGAGAAAAATACACTGTTTACAAGACATATGTACCTAGCAAAAACATAGAAGGCAAATTTTGTCTTCTTTAAGGTACGTATGTCCAACTATGTACGTATGTCCAACTATGTATGTATGTCCAACTATGTATGTATGTCTAACTATGTACGTATGTCCAACTATGTACGTATGTCCAACTATGTACGTATGTCAACTATGTATGTATGTCCAACTATGTACGTATGTCCAACTATGTACGTATGTCCAACTATGTACGTATGTCCAACTATGTACGTATGTCAACTATGTACGTATGTCCAACTATGTACGTATGTCCAACTATGTACGTATGTCCAACTATGTATGTCCAACTATGTACGTATGTCCAACTATGTACATATGTCCAACTATGTACGCATGTCCAACTATGTACGTATGTCCAACTATGTACATATGTCCAACTATGTACGTATGTCCAACTATGTACGTATGTCCAACTATGTACGTATGTCCAACTATGTACGTATGTCCAACTATGTACGTATGTCCAACTATGTACGTATGTCCAACTATGTACGTATGTCCAACTATGTACGTATGTCCAACTATGTATGTATGTCCAACTATGTACGTATGTCCAACTATGTACGTATGTCCAACTATGTACTTATGTCCAACTATGTATGTATGTCCAACTATGTATGTATGTCCAACTATGTATGTATGTCCAACTATGTATGTATGTCCAACTATGTATGTATGTCCAACTATGTACGTATGTCCAACTATGTACGTATGTCCAACTATGTACGTATGTCCAACTATGTACGTATGTCCAACAATGTATGTATGTCCAACTATGTATGTATGTCCAACTATGTACGGCAGTAATTTCCATCACAGAAAAAAATTATCAACTTCATTTAAAGAAAAAATATTGCATATATTTCTCAACAACAACAGTTCAAGACTCCAGAGAAAAACATGATAACACAAAATACAAAAAAGTGACAGTTACTTACAAAGAAACAATGAAGAGCGCAACATTCTTCTCCAAAAACTCATGCACAGGTTTACTAAAATAAACAAATGACGAAACAATCTCAAAAATGATATCAATATGGTGTAAAATTTGTTGCTCCATCTCCAGGAAATCTACCAAATTAAATTTACATAACTTACCAATACACGAAAAATACAATAAAGGCAACACTGACAACTAGTTGACACATAAGAATAGAATAAAGCTGCAAAGAGAAATAAATAAAAAGAATCTCATAAATTTAAACTTCCATACTTAACTTCTAAAACTTGTGAATTTTGACAGCCATAAATTGTGATACTTTTCCCTCAATGAATTGTGCACAGGATTTTTGACGAAAAACTTCCGTAGAATCCATAACCAAGTTTTGTATACAAAATTCATCATCATTAAGCAGACTTACGTACCTTTCTTATAAAAACTACAGCAAATTAAGAAACATTACAATCATTAAACAAAAAAAATTTGCAAGGTACTTGTAGTCAAAATAAATGATTGCTTCTAAAGTATAAATACAAATATATTGCAATTGATTTAACTGGAATCATATGAATAACTATAATTTCCCAGCAAAAAATGAATAAAACAGTCATTAAAATGTAAAATATGTATATTTAAATATGTGAAATCAACTGCAGTCTCAAACCTAAAGAATTCTTTGCTGGGCAATTATTTTAGACCATACTAAGATTCTAGTTATTTATATTTTGTTCAATGATACAGACACACAAATTTAGTTCACATGAACTAGCTTTGCTTTCATTACAAAAGCAAAAACATATTGGAAAACCTTTTTGAACATTACTGAAGGTGAATTCATCCCAGGGATTAGGCCAATGAGAACCTTCAAGATGATTGACATAGCATGAAGTAGACAATTTTTCAAAAGCAACAAAAAGCCCCCCTTTTAGCTAACATTGAAACAAAAACTCTTGGATTTTTTCTTTTCCTGGAAAATATTTTAATTTTCTGTTCAAGAAATACCTAACAAATAATTTAAAATTTTGCCCAGACAAATTAGACATCACATATTTGACGTCATACTGAGTTTCTATCACTGAACAAACAACAGCAGATGTAATTTATTTGTAGATCGCGTTTTAGTATTTAGTAAAAATTACAAATTGCTTTAAATTCAAAATTGTTTTAAGAAATGTGCATTTAGCAATTCTTCACGAGTTGGCCAACCGGCATAGGTACAAAAAAATCTGTTTATGATGATTCGCAATATAAGCACTTTAATTAAATGTAAACAAAATTTTTACTGAAGAACAGTGAAACCTGAAAATTGTGTAGCTTCAAATGAAGAAATTAACCAAATGCATCAGAATAAAAAATACCATGTAAAAATGCATGAGTATATTAACACTGAACTGCTTCAACGCAATACCTGCACGAATTGATTTATCCGTGAATGCTCCGGCCGAGTCATAGTCAGAATGGTTGTTTTCATTCAAGCCTTCGTTTTCTCCGTTATTTGGTGGAGATGAAAAATAAGGTTGAGGTGCATAGCTACCAAATCCGCTTGCCATCATGAAACTATTGCAAAGTTCGTATAATTTTCCCAAACACACGAAAACGCGACAACAACACAGAGGATACGTATTACGTAAACATTTGACTAAATAATTAATGCCAGAACACCTGACCATAACGTCTTATTTGCGCAAACCGAAATCGGAACACTGAGCATCGCATTGTTTTCATTTTCTTATAAACTTTAAAATATTCTTGTATGTTGTATGACGTGAGTGGTGACTGGTGTTGGTGCCAGTGTAAGCTTTATTTATTATATCCTTGGAACTAAAATGCTCGAACCATTTCAATAATCGTGAAAATGTTATTCAACATTTTATAGATGTACACAAGAATTGACTTCTTCATTTTATACCACACCAGGATTGACTTCAGGAATTGACTTCTTCATTTTATACCACACCAGGATTGACTTCAAGAATTGACTTCTTCATTTTATACCACACCAGGACTTCAGGTCTAAAACGTGCATCTTGGCTACTGCTAAAAATTATTGCTGCCACGCATCAGCGTGGCAGCCATTGAGTTCTATAAGACCTGGAGGGGAAACGTCAACAAAATTACTATAAATTATTATCGCGCCGCCGCGTGGTCAAAAACATGGCGGATTTTGGTTGTCAAAGTCAGCGGAAAGACGCGGGCTCACAAAATAAAATTTTTTTCTCCCACCCGGATTTGACAACCACAATTGCGATTATATAAAATATCAATGCCAAGCACAAAAACTTTAGAAATTTTATCTTTAAAACATGCTGCAAACTTGTTTGGTATACGGATGCTGAAGTAATGCCAGAAAAGGAAACATTTCATGACACCGGTAAGCAACGTGAGATTGTTTACCATTTAAAGTGTTCAGTGTTTTGTTTTAAGTCAATACTTGAAGTGTGATGTGCATATATTTTGTGAATGTTTTTACTCCTAAGTTATAATTTAAGTAATGTTTATCCAGTCTTATTTTTTCTTTACTTAATCGCTTGCTAGACGAGGCAAAGCAACCAATTCTTATCGAGATATGCATATATTAAAACTCCTTGTTTCAACTGAGTTTACCTTCAAGAAATGGAGGGTGTTTTCATGATATTTTTCTGAAAATATGAAGCAAATATTATGAACAGAGCTGTATTAAAATCAAATGCAGTGCAGGATTAATTGATGAACTCTTTGGTACATGTCGTACAATAAAAAATACCTTTCTTAAACAGCTATCCTGGACAATTTGATAGATTATGGACAATCATAATGATGGTGTGTAAAGGTTTGCTTTATGCTAAAAGTTTTATAAATATAATTGTTTGTTATAGTAAACAGGTTAGTACATCAAAACCAAGATAAAAACTACTTTGTTCAATAATGTGCCAAATTATGCTCCTACCTTGAAATATTTGCTCGAGAAAAGCTTATGATGGCATGCATGAAACATTAAATATACTACTGCATCATCTGACAAAATCCATATGTTTTTCAATTCCAGGTGATTAAAAATTCACATAAGATGCATTGGTTGCAATGAAGTTGAATGTGGAAGAAGCAAAAATTGATGGCAAAGAACTTTTTATGTCTTTTGAAGAATTACGATATCATTTGAAAAAATAAGAGTAGCAATCTAGTAAAATAAGCGACATCTGTCTTCAACATGAGACTTTTCCAATTATGTTTTCTTGTATATTCCTTGTATATTTCTTGTATTTCCAATATAGTTTCTTTGTACAAAATACTATTTTAGATAAACTTGATTTTTAAGTCATTCACTCATGTTTTTACCAAAAGATGAAAAGAAAAATTCAAAGGCATAATGTAGTATAGGTAATAGTAATTTGTAAGGACACAGGAGAAAAGTAGTACAAGAAGGTTAGCATTTTGGAGAATTAATAAGTTCTTCTTGACATACATTACACAAGGCCATAATATTATAATGGCTGTACAATAATAATTATACAACATGCTAAATATCTTCACCTACATTTTAATTATTTAAACAGATTTGCCTTCATGCAGCAATAAGAAAAGTGTTATGTCAGAGAAACCAATGCACTTTCATTCAAGAAATAGTATTTTCAATGGGAAATTAATGTAGTTCTGTTCAGTAGTAGATCCATGGTTGTCAATGACAATCCAGTTACTAATATCTTGGCTCAAAACAGAACCAGCAACATAATTATAGTATTTCTGAATTTCGTTCGTTTGCTCTTCTAGTTCAAGATATTTTCTTCATAAGTTCTCAGTAGATTTATCAGAATATCATAATACCTTATAAGACACCCAGAATCAATCCTACCAAAAAAAACTCAAAAAAATTACATACCTACTTATAATATATTTCCAGTCGACTTAAGTCGTAGAGGTAAGCTAACTTTTTCTAACTCCTTTTTGGACATTTTAACTAAGATTTACCCATCTATTTAAGAAAGACAGTTGCACCAAGCTGTTAACAAACAGTCAAAAACACAAGTAATGCGCATGGGATTATGCATTAAAGCTTAACGACACATTGACAGTGTAAAGAATGCCGTTTGATATGTATTTCTAATATAGCTAGAGCATTACTTGGCAAAATATACGTTATTTTACAGTAGATTTACCTCATTTAAATGTGTGTGTCCATTTTACAAAAACCTGAAGCATTATTTTCAATATTTTATGCTTACGGTATCGTGGTTGTTTTCGCTGGTTGTCATTAATACAAGCAGGAATAAAGATCCGGATTCCGGAGGGAGCGAATGTTAAAAATTTTTCTCAAAGTGGAAGTTTTGACAACCAAAATCCGCCATTACCGCCATGTTTTTGACCACGGGGTCCAGGCCCCTTTGCCCCTCCAGGTCTTATAGAGCTCAAT